GTTATACAGTGTGAGTCGTGTTTTTCTCCCAGGACTTTAACTCCATAAAAAGGCAATTTTTAAAGATTTAAATCTTTTAGCTTCATTTCCCAGATAATGTCAAATTATCAACATTTTTTCATTTTTTTCATTTCATTTTTTTCATTTCATTTTTTCATTTCACAAAGATTTCATAAATTATTTCAAGCCTTTCAGCGATTTTTAATAATATTTTTAAGGTCATGTCTAAAACTTTTGAATTTTGCAACTAACAAAACGATTATCGAAATAGCGGAAAACACCTCTTACCTAACGTATCAAGCTGGGGTTGGTCTTATTTAATTTTAAGATGGTAAAATGGAGATGCTAAAAATTTGGTTTGTGGTAGGGCTCGATTCCAGACTGATGGTATTTTTTTAGTGATATTTTATAAAATATACCTAAAAATTCGTGCTGCAACAAAGATTACTTAGAACTGATTTGAAACATATAGTTTAACCCGATAGTTTAAAAACACACGTTCTACCAGCGCTCAAGGGATATTTTAGTATATATAAGAAACGTAAATTGAACTAAGTTTGAACAACCGAACCTAAGAATATATACACGATTAATTACGGTGATACCATCCAAATATTTCCGCTATAATATACAAATATTCCCAACTGGTTGTAGTACTCACAGGCTCTATTTGAGTCTATTTTTCGCTAATGACATACGAAACGGATTTAAAAAATTCTCAAAATAGGACATCCATGTGTCAGCGTCAATTAAACACCGAGAGTGTACTTCTCGCAACTTTTTTACTGTTTGAGCTCACGAACAACAATCTTCAAATGCTATTTCTTGCTCACCTTCTTCAGATCTTCATTGGAAGACTTTTCACCAGGCCAGTCAATTTTGAATATACCTTATAGGTAATGAGGGTACTTTTCGAAAAACAGTGTTTTTATTCTACACAACAGGCGGCTTTTTATGGAAAAAATATTTAAAAAAACGTCTTCATCAAATTTTAACTTAAAATTTGCATTGCTTTCAGATTTTATCAAAACTTCACATCATTCGTTGTAAGAAATATGTAGCCAGCACAGCAAATAGTAACTATAAACTGCCAACATCTTTACTTAAAATTAAATAAATAATTCATTTTTTATAAAAAAATGTCTTCATTGAGAAAATAAATTGACGATAACAAAATGTTACAAATGTAAATGTAACAAATTAGAAAAATACGAAAAGCAGTAAGTACCATTATATATTAATTTCAAAAAATATATAAATCAAAGTTGTCAATAAACTACTAAATACAAATTCCAATGATTCAAAGCCTAGTATGGAAAATCTACTATTGAAAAAAATTCCGCATCGCATAGCTTAATGTAGCCTGTATTTGATTTAGGTTCATACTTATAGCTACGTCGTTATGAACCATACACTTTAATGTTCTTGGTAATAAGTATTTTTCTGATTTTTCATAAGTATTCTATTATACAGTAATCCTTTAAGGATTGGCAGGATAAGGAAATATAAAAACCAAGTCGAAAACAATGCGATCCCTAATTGCAAGCAGCTTCTAAAAAACACGTCTCCGCGGAATTTTATTCTAACACACGTAGGGCCCACGCAATCACGGGGGATGGAGAAAACAGTCCCCAAAATACCATGATCCGATCTACTCGATTAAATTTACCGTTTGGGGATTATTTCCAAGCGCTAGCGAGTGTCATGCAAGAAGCTCAACGAATTATTGGTGCTGTGTAGGTGCAGCGACCTTCCGAGAAGGTTTACACCGAAAGGATCGTCCTACTTATAGACTTAAATGTACAGTGACTGCCTCAAAATATCGAACAAATTCATTTAAAAATCAGGTATTGGATTTCAAGAAAAATGCTCTCATAAGTCCATCATATTTTTATCTATTAAGAAATTATGAAATTAAGAAAAAAAATTATAGAAACAGAGCATGTAAGAGCTTTTCTACGGCGAGGTCGTCCAAAAACTAGTAAGAAAACAAGATTAAACATTTTATTAGAAGTTGAGGATAATCCTCATCGTGCATCAGCTAGAGTAGCTTCAAATAATGATATTAGCTAGCGAACAGCTTGGAGTGTATTAAGAGAAAAAAATATCATCCATAGAAGTTTACACCACTACATGAGCTAAACGAAGATTATTTCAAATGCAGACTATAATTTTGTGAAACCATGACGAAAATGTGCAGCTTAAATCTTTTTGTTAACGTCAGATACTGTTTAGTGATAAAGCCCCACTTTGTTTAAAGGGTACGGTAAATAAACAACATTGTAGGTACTGGATTAACAAATAATCCTCGTTGGATGAGAGAAAATCATGCACAATATCCACATTTACCATATTTACAATTTCTTCAAAATGCCTAAATTCTTACTTTCGCAGTTTCTTTCCCAAATCCAAATCAGCTTGATATGCCAGATAGACAGATTTGGTTTCGCACAGGATGGTGCGCCGACAATTTTGCTAGTCAAGTGCGGTATTTCCTGGACAGGGGATCAATTGAACTGCCTGCCACCAAGATCACCAGATAATATTTAATCGGATTTTTTAACTCAAAAGTAAAAGTAAAAATGAAAAACCACACAATTTAGATGATTCAAAATTTAGAATTAGATACGAAATAAGGCTAATTAATGAAAATATCTTGAGTAATGTTGTGGAAGGGTTTATAAACCGATTAGCATATTGTCAAGAAGTGAATGTTAACGATTTCAACATCTAATAAAAGAATTTCTTTGACATCCTTTTTATTCTTTTGCTTATAAAAAGGTAAGGCATATGTGTATGGTATACTACATGAATTAAGGGGTGCAATTTTACGCAGAAGTCAAAAATTGATTACAAAAAATAGGACTCGGTATCGACATCTACCTTTTGGAATACCCTGTATATTTTTTATTTCCTGCAAAAAATACGCGAGAAAGAGTTACGATCGACGTGTGCAAGCGTTTTACTTGAAATAATGAATTTTAAATGAATTTGTTCCATATTTTAGCAGTTAATAATGTCCCAAAAGTATTTCACCGAAGCAGGTTACTAGTGCTTCAAAGTTCAAGAGGAGGTAATAAAAACAAACTTTCACTCTCTGCTTGAAAGAATTAAACTTTTCCGAAATTAGCTTAGTAAAACGAGCTGATTTAAGCAATTTTACGGTTTGTCTGTGAATTTTAAATTATTTAAAAGAGGCAGTTTTAGACTATACAGCGTCTAAAACAGAGTTCATCTCCATGAAGCTGAAAGAAAACTATATACCGCGCTGATGGAGACAATTAACTTTATCATCGAGGTTGTTGAAGACAATACGACACTCGGATAGTTGGAGAGTTCGTTATTAGACAGCTCGGTGATAATCACAACATTTGGCTGTTTGATTGATTATGGGGGTCGGTTTCGGAGAAAACTTAGTTTCCGAACCGTTTCGGACGTGCGCGAAGCTAAACTATGTTGGGTTTTTCGAAAAGGATCGACTCGCTTGCAATGACACCGGGCTACTGGAAATCAGTTCCGATAGAATATGGTCATTATACACCCTAATTGCAATTACAGATACACGCAAACTATATCCGCCCCATTACGGACAAGGGCCGATCTATATATACGACATTCATTAAATGGCGCGGATTTCATTGTTGATACGAATTTGCCCTCTATATATCGATCCGCCGCAGGCTATTGATTGCTCATTTCCTTTGGTTTGCGGTTTAAGCTGCGATGCATCACTATATTATATTCCATCGCTACCGATCTCGTTCGTAGACATTTTTAGCGCTGAAACAGGCTCAAACCCAATGGACATTAAAATAAGACGAAAACAATTAACTAAGAGCGGTATAAAGGAATTTGGAAAAATGAGGTCACGCGGTATTTCATTTGAAAAGTTTTTATTATACTTCTTATGACGCTGGCCTTGGGCCATGCCATATAAAAAATGTCTAGCGAAATGCAGGCAAGCAAGCAAGAGTACCTGGTAGAACAGGTAGGTACAAATATGGAACTTTATTATATTAAGACTACTCCAACATGGAATACTATAACACATCTCTAGAAGCCTTCATTTAAAGAGATTCTTTTCCATGTCTAAAATAGAGGAGTCATGATAAACGGTTTCATATCATCTCAAATGAAAGTTGCTAACGATTTGTTATACTAGTTCTTGTGGGCAATACCATCAATATTTTTATCTACCTTATCCAGAACACGGTGCATGCATGGTGCATTTTATATCTCTACAGACCTAAACAGCTCAAAAATTCTAACTAATTAAATTTTATTTCCAATTCAACAGATTATTCAGTCTATAACATCAAAATTAATTTTAAACTTAATTAACAATGCGCTGTAGCAGTATCCCCCACAACAGGGGCACTTGCATAAAAATTCATAGAAATTATTAATGATTTGATTTTGTGGCAGTTTTTTACCAAGTATGGTCTGTTCATAGATATAAGATAGTGACTAACTGAAACGAACGGGCAAGCTGTAAGAATGAAATATGGCCGAACAGGTCCGTACTTTGCTGATAATTTAATTATTTGGGGTTTTGTTAGGAAAGATACTAAACAATATTTCTTTATTTATTTATGCATTTATGTTTAAAACTAAAATAAAATTACAAATTATTTATATTACCTACTTAAATTACTTGAAATTATTCACATAATATATCAGTATCACTATCGCTATCATCGCCTGTTCTAATTATTATTTGTTCTATATTATTTGCAATATGGATATACTGTACAGATATACTGTATGGATAAAATTGTTCTGCTTTTTCTATATGTTTAACAGAATTCGGCCAACTTATATCCATGAACAGATTTTAACCGACTAAACCTGAAACATAGCAGTCGGGGTAGTACAAATTTATTGCAAAACCAAGTTAACCTTAAATGTAGTAGTCTAAGAATATTAATGGTAAAAATGACGAATAAAAGGAAAAATGTACAAAGTTTAAAAATTTTGGCACTGATCCCTGTGGGGCTGTGGGGCTGCGGCCGACGAATCTAAAAAATTATGCGTAAATGCCCGCAAGTGTTACAACATCCTGGAATAAAAAAATATCCTCTTGGTTATAGGTTATAATATAAATAACAATGTATTAAAAGTCACAATGGCTAAATTGTGAGAGCATCAGCCAAATATATATAGGATCTCTATGGTAATTAGAACAATGTATTTTTCTACTCCCGTCCGTAAAATACCTAATTACCCACCGATCAAGCGTGCGGGAAGCGTCACTTTACCACGTCAGTTTCGTTTCCCATGAATCCGAGCCACTTCGGACATTTCCGGAATTTTAACGCACGGCTTTGGGTACAATCGGATGTTTTCGGAGATATTTCCCACGCGTTGAATTTTGACGTTTGTCAATTCTAACAGTCATGTCAGTGAATGTATTCGTGTTGTTTTGCGTTCGGTGAACTTTTTAAGTTTAGGTTTAGCTGTATTTAAATTTTATCGGAGAAACAATTTATTTTCGTTTCCGAAACATGCCTCATTATACGTGTTTACCGGAAACTGGTAGTATATTTGAATACCATCGCCTTATTTAAAGATTTTATAATGTATAATGAAAAATTTAAAAAAAAATGAAGCATGTGGCATTCATAACTTTTTGTTACAGTGAATATGGTGTATCATGTGCGTTTACAATTATATGTATACTTGGAGAGAATATATTTGAATTGTTATAGTTTATAGAAGTGTCTTTTGAATAGATGTTCATATATTAGACAATAAACATTAATATTATTGTAATTAATTAATTAAAGATTAAACGAATTGCACTTTCGCCAGTCAAACTTTCAGCCTAAAGAATGAAAAAAACGGTAATCAGTTAAGCTCGCCATAAACCTGCATTGCTTGGTCTTCGTCTTGAAAGCTGAAGTTATATCGAGAATAATATACACGAATTTCATCGCGTCAATTTTAAAAGCGACGAACGGCAACCGAGACGACAACACATACGCCGCGCCGGTTCGAGGTAGTTTTGCAAAACGCAGCATCCAAAGTTTACTCATTTCAGAGAAATACCCCGGGCTCATATTGTCGAGCGTTGCCGAGGAATCAGCTCGCTAATTAGAATTCGTCGCTGTACGGTGTTCGCTACGAGTCGAATTAGTTAAAAACCGACGGCACCTATCGTTAACGTAGATATCCGACTTCTACTCCGTTGATCTCCTCACGAATTCAGTCTCTCCCCAGAACCCAGCCGCATATCACCAAGAAAATACAAACTCCAAACTTGATTGGCTATTCGAAATTAGAAGTATATGGATAATGGAAAAATAGACGTTTACCAATTCGGTTGAGGACACAGGCCACAGACCACTACGTAATAATTATTTAAAAATGAAAAATGAAAATATTATTGAATTTTTAAATTCTATGAAAAATTATGAAACGTGCTATAATACAATAATTAATATATTAATAAGTTTAATCAAAGTTCGAATGTTGAAGTACAAATTATTACAAATTACTAAGTTTTTTTGTAACAAATTCTCTATCTAAATTCATTACACCATTCCCTATTCTCAAGTATCCAGTATTTTACAAGTTTTTTTGCAAAGGTGATATGTTTTATACTTTGTATACTTAGAGTTCCTGGTAGAAAATATTCCACAGATAAACATTTTCTGATATTTCCAAACAATGCAGCTACCGAATATCCAATATTTCTGTTTCTTGGAAAAGTAGGTCTGTGGGGTACTTTCTTCTGTCGCCATATATTATTTTCAAAAAAATTTGGCCTACTACTTGGGACCTTTAAATGAGTGAGCTGCTCCACCCTATTCTAAAATCCCGTACGATGGAATTGCAGTAAGAGTATTAAAAATTCGATTTCCGGAATTTCTTCTGTGTTTTTTTGCAAAGGTTAGTTTTTTTAATTTAGAGTCAATTTGTTTATTTAAAACCAGGATATGACGATTGTCAATTTTTTTTTCAACTGTACTTTTTAATTCATCTCAGAGTGTAGAAAATTGTAGTGTCATCGGCGAAACTTATTATTATGTCAATAGTTTTATTGTTATTATGCTATAAGTTTAAGTTATCTGTAGTATATGACGATATCTCAAAAAACGAGATTTAAAATTTAAAAATACGATTAAACCACCTGGCGACCATAATTTAAAAAATAATTTTTAACGTTTTCGCTTGGCTGGTGTAATGATAAACTTTTTCACCCCCCGCCTTTACGACAGTTACTTTTCGAGATAGAGCCGAGTGCCCTTCCTAATTGGCCACCCGGTACAGTGCGTCTTATTTTTTATGGTTTCACGGCGTATACTTCTTATTAATAAAGCAAACGTGTGGGGTTTTCGTGATCCATCTAAAAGACCCAGAGTCATAACTAGAGTCATACAGGGTGTAGCCTGGTTATTCCTAAACTTATCGAAAAGGGGAATATCCGCATAAAATTTTTCGAACATAAGATCTATTAGATTTGTGATTTTTCTTCGGACACTCACAAATTTCGATAAATGAGATAAACTTTTATATATATTAGACAATTTCATTACGCTTTTCAAAAATATTCAACACGCAACAGGTATTTCATATACAAAGCATCGGCACGGCCATTGCGCCTTCTCATTCCTTCATCTCAATTCTAGGTAACTGCACGTGACAATTTCGTCTTTCAAATATTACTATAATATTATTATGAAAAATGGGGTATTGTAATTTAAACAGAAAAATTAAAAAATATTTAAAAAGTCTATTCCAATATAACCTAAATTAGAGCTAATTACTTTTAAAGAAAACAAAAATTAATATAATTAATATATTGGATTTTATTCAACATCCTCATTTCTAGTTTCGTTTTTGGATTATGGATTTTCCTTAGACATCCACAACTTATTATATGAGTGTTAAATACAAACACTTATTGGATCAAAACTTCAATTCTTAACATTTGTCGCAGAGCAAAAAAACTCAATTTGAAAAAATGTGCCGTTTACCTCCTGATCGATATGGAACGAACAACCCATCCGAATTTCCGCTGGTCAAAAATAACTAACCTTTCGGCCTTAATTTACTTCCGTTAATTTGGTTAACACTTGACGGCGGGTCCAATTTCCTAAACGAACAACAGTTATTTCCCTTTTCAATTCGCGAACAAAGATAACCTGAATAGAAGGGGAAGATAGGGGATCAAACCAATGTAATTACCGTTTTTTATTAACGCAACAATCTCTTAGGTCCAGGGGGCTTCTCCAAATTTCGATAAGTCTACATTCGGGAAAATTAAATTAAGGTGAGGCAATAGGTATTATCAACTGACACTAGAACTGAATAATACTTCGCTTTTCTATGCTTATTTTAATTACTAATAAAAAAAAAGTGTCAATATACAATCAATGAAATAATTTATTTCTAAATTACCTATAGGCCTTAAATTTACATTCTTAAAAAAATTATTTACGATCTCCGGTAAATAATCTACGCCATATATAGAACCTAACTTATTTAAAGAGAATATAAATACACACAGATTATAGCACAACCTATTCATGTTTTTAGCATTTATAACATTTTCTGGTGTCCTATTCAAAGTCTGTATACTTCTAAATAGTGGATAGTTTTGCGCTTTTGATGTTCTACTAAAGGGGTTTCCTAGGCGATTGAAACTTCGTACATTGTACCCATGAAAGCTGATTACTCGTTGAGAAGTTAGATTTGATTTTAAAGTACCATTCTGAATGCGGCAAATAACGGAATAGCGGAAATTTATATTAATTGACTTATATTTATATTTATAAATAAATGGAGTGGATATTTTTAGTGGGATTCCACGAATCGCTAAGTATTCTATTCAGGTATTCCTTAAAGTTGGTTATAGGTAAATCGGACATCACAAACGCATAATAATTTATTATAAAATACATATTATTATTAAATGATAAAAAATACATTTTGATCGAATTTAACTAGTCAATTAAGAAATCTTCATGAGACTCTCTTATTATTTCCCTTCTATTTTACTGTAATGTAATGTAAGATTATTTCTCCACTTATGTACATCGCGCAGTCCGAACAGCAAAAGTATCTTCAGCGCTTCTTTTAGCTATAACGTCACTAAATGTTTCAACTTCATTGCGGATGGTATCAAGGGCTGCTCGACTGCTGCCGACTTTAGAAAGCGCCTTAAGCCGAATCTGTCCAATTAGTACTTTTTTCCATTCATTTTACTTATCTCTGCAGTTTTCTGCAGCACCTCCATCCCAGTGACGTGAATAACTATAAAAATGTATTTGAGTTTTTTTTACAGTGATACAATCAATGTTAATGTTGTAAATTGATTCATAAAATCTCTTGATTTAGGGTGATTAGGTGAGTAGCTTTGCTAGATCCCGCCAACCTCCTATCTTATATTGTTTCATTTTTTATTGTACATACCACTCTACTTATTATCACGGTATAATGCACTCTCCCTTTTGGATAAGCTTCTAACAATCTATATGTATATCAATCTATTGTGATTTTTTGGTTTAACACATTTCGCATTATGTTGCAGGTTGATAGTATAACTGCTTTCTGGAGTTGCGTAGAAAGGGCATTCTGCAGTCCGACGGCTTCCAGATTCCGTGCCAGCTTCGTTGGAATTTCGCCCGGCGCTTCAATTATAATGGGAACAGTCTTGATCGTTCTTGCACCCCAGGTATGCTTCATGTCCTCAGCTAGCGACATGTATTTGTCAACTTTCTCCTCATGTTTCTTGTCAATTTATTATTATAATAATTATTATTATTATTATTATAAATTCTGGTTACAAGTTACCAGGACTTCGTTAGCTGCGGGGCAGCAAGACTACGTCAAGCGTTCCCCTCCAAACCCGATCGAGCAATGTTCGCTGCATCCAAGAGTGCTGACTTCTGCATCATACGGTAAGTATTGCAATTTAGACCCAGTCTAATTAAGTTTGTTTTCAGGTCCGTCGGTACAACATCCATGCTGGATATGATCAATTGACGACCTACACTCTCTCCATGTGCCACAGTTCTTTAACTTCCCATTTCAGATCATCATATTTTTGGATCTTCTCAGCCTTCTTAGAGTCGATGTTGTGTTTGTTGGAGATGGATATATCAATTAAATATGCGTTATTTGTCTCCTTATCAATAACTGTCAAGTCTGGTACATTATGCCTGATTTTCTTGTCTGTGATTATGGCTTTGTCCCAGTAGATCTTCGCATGACTGGTGGTGGTTGGAGGCAAGGTTTATGTCGAATTTCTTCGCCAATTCGAGGTATATAATGATTGGAACCTTGTTGTGCCTTTCTATATATTTTGTGTTGGCTAGTTTGGGGCATCCCGAAAGGATGTGTTCAATCGTTTCCGAGTGTTCTTGGCATTTTCTACATTTGTCAGATGCAATGTTTTCTTTCACGATGTACTTTCGAAAGTTCTGAGTGCTGACAACCTGGTCTTCCATCGCTACAACAAGCCATTCTGTTTCTGTCCTTAAATAGCCTTTCCTCAGCCATTCAAGAGAAGCATCTTTGTCGACGTTGTTTATATGTCGTTGGTATCGGCCGTGCAGTTCTTTGCTGGCCCACGTTTCAATTTTTTGCAGAGTAGTATCTGGTTTTTCTAAATTAATTTCTCCACTTAGATTTAGCGGTGTAAACGCTTGGTCTGCCTTTGTGACCACTTGATGGAGGTGGTCCGTTTTCTGCTGGAAGTATTTGCGCAGGTTTCGAATTTGTTGGTAGCATGTGTTGAGTACGTCGGCTATACCTCTTCCTCCTTCGTGCCTAGGTAGAGTAGTTCTTTCCATCGATGATCTTGGGTGGTGTTTTCCGAACTTTGACATTGCCGTGGGCACTAATCGGTTCAGATTTTCCAAGTCAGTTTTAGACCAGTGTACAACTCCAAACGAATATTTCAGGACCGGCATGGCATAACTATTAATGGCTTTGGTGATTTTAATCGAATTTAGCTTTGTTTTAAGGAGAGCGTTTAACCTTTGCTTGAATTTACCGATAAGAACATTTTTGGTTTCAGCGTGTTCTATCTTATTTGATCGTAGCATTCCCAGGTATTTGTACGGCTGGTTACCCATCGCATTTATAGTGACGTCCTCATTCAGGGGGAGAGGGGCGTCCGAGTGTCATACTTATGTCATTTCCATTTTTGTGTACTAATTTTAGAAGGTTTTGTAAGTGATTTTTGGTTGACGCATATATTTTCAGGTTGTCCATGTAGAGGAGATGGTTCAGCATATGTGTTTCATCGTTAGTTTTAAGTGCAAAGCCGTAACTCGTGGTTTTCAATAGTCGTGATACAGGATTTAGCGCCAGGCAAAATTAAAGAGCACTAAAGGTGTCTCTTTGGAAGATACCCTTTCTTATGTTTATGGTTGGCGTTTGTTTTCGAGTGTTACCACAGTCAAAGGTAAGTATGGTACTCTAGTTTTTCATTGCATGGCGGAAAAATGTTGTGATTTTAGGGTCGATATGGTATACTTCAGACTTCCAAGAACCAACAGTGCGGAATGGAGTCAAAAGCCTTCTGATAGTCCACATATCCCATGTAGAGAATTCGGTTTTTCCTTCTGGCTTCTTCGAGAACAACAGAGTCTATGATAAGTCGGTATTTGTAATCCATGGCTCTAGATATGCATCCTTTTTGCCCCTCTGAGTGCTGAGGATGTCAGGTAGGTATATATTTTGTCGCTGATTATTGCGGAGACCAGCTTGTATAACGTTGGTAAACATGTTATACGGCGGTACTGCGAAGGATCATAAGACGTCATTTCACATTTAGGAATCAGGTAAGTAATTCCTTGGGTCATTCATGCAGGAAGACGTCCCGGGTATTCTAGTGTGGCGTTAATGCTCTTCGCAAGGTGGAAATGAACTGACATGAATCTCTTGAGAAAAAAGTTTTGAAAGCCATCCCTTCCTGGTGCTTTCCAATTTGCTACCCTTCCAATAACCCTTCCAGTGCGCTCTGTTGTGAAATTGATTTTTGTAATTTGTAAGCCTAAAAACGCGTCTTTCTCGTTTTTAATCCACTGCGCTTCCCCTCTGTACACTGCGTTGTCGGACCATACCGTCTTCCATTGCCATTTCCCCCGGATCGGGGTATTGACTTTTCTTAGAACTGGCTGTCTTTTGGTGTAAACCACTATAAAAAGTCTTTTCAGATCTGGAGAAGACAGCGTTTGGCGCACGCAGCTAGGCTTTGCTTTAGGATGTCTAAATAGCCAGATATAAAGTTGTTCAGTTCAAACCCTTTTTGCTGCTGGATATTTGAGGAAAACTTTTCCGCGAGTCTGGATATGATTCTTTTGTTTCCCGGATTCTTCTGCAGTTCTATGATCATTCAGATGTTTTTTCGAAGATGCTCGATTATTCGTTGCAGCCGTTTCGTGGTGTTTCGTTTAATTGTCCCGTTAGGCCTTGTTGTTGAGGCAGTTTTTGACCATTTCGAGTCACACATGTCAACGCTGCACAATAGATCTGAAGGTGGATTTCTTCAAGGTCAGCGTCGTCCGTCATAGATGATCTCAAATGCTCATCGACGTTAGCAATATTCTTCGAGTTAGGGTTGAAATTTAGCTTTGGTATTTTGGGGCCAAGATTTGGACTCATTCCCCTGAACCTGGTAAGAAAGCTCTGGAAGTCATCCCAATCCTCAATTTGGGTTTCAGTTTGGTCTAGTGTTGGGGTTGTCCGACCTGGGTCGGTACCCTGAATTATTATTATTATTATTACTATTATTATTATTATTATTATTATTATTATCATTAATATTATTCATATGTGCAATTTTCGTTTCTGCTTTATACACATACGTACCGCCTTATTTACCTTGACTGAAAGCTTATTTCGACACAGCTATTTATACACAGTTAAGTCAGCATTTACAGCCTCTTCTAGCACTTGGATATATTTTGAAGAAATCAGAAGTGCAATATCATGTGCAAACATAACATATTTTGAATTCAATCCAACTTACATACAAGAGATACTGTACTATTATTTGCAAATCTTCTGGATTCCTTTCGCGTCGGTTGGTTTCAAATCAAACTTCATGACGTTTCGCCAATCGCCCTGTTGGCTTCTTCAGAGCTTAATTAAAACTCAGCTCTGAAGAAGCCAACAGGATGATTAGCGAAACGTCGTTAAGTTTAATTTATAATCAAGTGACCCAGGAGGACTCTAGAAGATTTGTAAATAGTATTACAGTAACCCGTGGAAGTTTCTTTGAAAAAAATAAATTAAGAGATACTACGGGGAGCCGAGTACTGAGTCTTAAGTAACTCTAACATAACACTCTACTTATTGTTTATCATGGTATAATGCATTCTCCCTTTTGAATAAGCTTCTAACAATCTCTATGTTGTACCTCGGAATCTCATCTTGTAAAGCCACTGTATGAAATGCTTTTTGTCGATCAATTTAAACTGTTAGTACGTACGATGTCTGCCGGAATGTAGTCTAATACGTCTGTTCTTACCCCCAAAGTACTGCTATGATTGTGATGGCGGTACTGTTGTAAGTCAAATTTGAAATGGTTTTTTAAGTATTTTCTCAACTATTTTTGAGAATGAACTAAATTAATTTTAATACATAAGTGTTTACATTTTTTAAATTTCTTTTTATTAATTGATGTAGAACATTTCAAAAATTACACAAAGAGGTTTAAACGCAGTAAGTTTTAAGAGCGTAGCCGTACATGAAGAAAACTCAGAACACCCCACTCTGTAAAACGTATTCAAGGGAAAAATTTTCAATTTAAATATCAATAAAAGAACTATCAAGAACAGCGAAAAGTATTCATGGCCTTAACTGAACGGTTAGCGTGGAACAGGCTGCGACATCTAGGTGGCGGGCGCCAAATCATACGAACAACAAAAGAGCAGACTCGACGAGACGTCGGCGCTTTTAAAATTAAACCACAGATGGCACCTGTTAACACCAAAAATTGTTCTCAAGCCAGTTTCTTCAGTATTAATTTTTAGATGGATGATACATTACCTAAATTGAAAAAATATCTTTCTCCTCTAACTTTGAATGGAAATTCCGTGCACAAATACAGAAACAAATTTCACTCCCAATGCTTTCGACCATTCAACTTATACAGCATTTTAATTATAAGAGGATCCGCACTGCTTTTCTCGAAAAGTATTTTTAAAAATAAAAAAACGCAAAATACGTCGATTTTGTTTGCAAGGGTGGAAATTTGCGTATATGACTTCCTCTTCAGAGGTTTACTCCTACAATTTAAATAGGAAAGGCGGATTAAGTGACAGCTCTTTTTAAAGGTCTTCGTTATACCTTTGCGACTAAGTTAAAATCTTAAAATTGGATTGATTTTTGAGATATTGGTTCAAAAGTTAAAAAGGAGCACACAAAAAACAATGTACCCCACAATTTTCAAAATATTTTAAAATTTATACCTCCATAAAGATTAAAAGTGAAAAAGAAGTTAGTGACAAATCATATGCTCAAATTAGCCACCATTTTGTTCTATGCAGTACTAGACGCTTTGGTCAAAAGCTACTCTGACATTTTTCAACATTTTTGGGGTTATTCTGCATTTCATCTACTATTTTTTCATGGAACTCTTGCGAATATTTTGGATTACTTAGGAACACTTTACTTTTTAATCCCCATTAAAAAAAAGTCAAATTTGTTTAAATCTGGAGACTATGCGGGCCATTCGATCGTTCCCATTCTTCAAATCTACTGCCAGGAATATTTATTATTTAAAAATTCTCTCACAAAAGCAGAGCAGTGAGGAGGAGGACCGTCTTGCTGGAAATGATGATTATTGATGTTATGATGGCGACCATTTTAACCGCTTCAATTATTAGGTTGCAGAGTTCGTTTTCCAACTGCAAATACATTTATCCCAAAAGGTTACCTGGGATAAAATTGCTTTTTACGTTTACTTTTTGTGTGCGATGAGAATGAGCTTCGGCAAACCAGTAGTGGGGATTGGTATCGCTTTAATAATCTCTGTTATGC